AAAAAAAAAAAAAAAAAAATTTAAGAAAGAAAAGCTGTGGCCACAAAAAATTCTGACATACATGTAAGTTTTAAACAATTACCATAAGCCTCCATATATATCATGAAATAACTAAAAAGTATACAAAATTGGGGATGGGGGTGATGGGGAGATGATGGTCAAAGGGTACAAAGCCTCAAGTAGGCAAGAGGGATAAGCTTTTTTGAGACAGACTGCACAGCATGGTGAATACAGTAAATAATAACAGATTGACCCAACGTGGGTAGCTCATACTTGTAATCCCAGCACTGGAAGGCTGAGGTGGGAGGATCACTTGAGCTCAGGAGTTTGAAACCAGCCTGGCCAACATAGTGAGACCTCATTTCCACAACAACAACAAAAAGTAATGCATATTTCAAAATCACTAAGAGTAAATTTCAGATGTTCTCATTACAAAAAATGATTATTTGCAATTATTTCCAGTGGTGAACATGTTAATCGGTTTGACTTAATTATGCCATGCTGTAGCCATAGATCATAAAATTACTTTGTACCCCATAAATATATATCTGCAATTTGTCAATTTACAATTTAAAGAATAAAAAATTTAAAAAGAATTTTTAGTCAGATGAGGTCCACAGAAAAGGAAGAAAATAGTAAAATATGTAAATAACATTAACATGAATCATTTGTATCTTAAGAAAAAAAAAAAAAAAAAAAAACTAAGCTGGGCGTGGGGGCATGTGCCTGTAGTCCTAGACAACGCTCAGGAGGCTATGGCAGGAGGGTCACTTGAGCCCAGGAGTTGAAGGCTGCAGTAAGCGACGCTCAGGTCCCTGTATTCCACCCCAGCAACAGAGCCAGATCTTTTCTCAAATAAAATAAAATAAAATAGTTTAAACACTAAAATGTGCTTTTCAAATTATTCAAAATGCTTCTAAGTAATACCACATATTATTTAATGATAACTACACTAAGCCAGGAAAACGGTCAGGCATTGTGCCCAGGTGACCCAGCCTGCATCATCTGCTTGTGTGGAGGGGTGCTAATGATGCTCTCCTAGGACAGGTGTCACGACTGAGAGGAACAGTGCACATGGGGCATCTGGCACAGTGCCCTGCAAGTGTTCAATACTCAAATCTCAACTATTACCAATGCTATAACAAGTATTACAAAGTAACGGCATGTAACAAAGCAATTAAAAAGTCTAAACTGTTTGGAGTTTGAACAAATGGCTTAGTAAACCTTAGTTTCATTACTTCTACATAAATTCATGAGGTGGTAAAACAATGTTTTAAGAACTAGTATTTCTTCTCTCACACATAAATCACTTTTTTCATTGCTCTTTTAGAGCCTGGGGAAGTCATCACTACATTATTTTTAATTTCCCTTGCTTACTTAAGTGGAGGAAAAGTTACTTTCTTTTTAACTTAGAGACCTAAAAAGTTTTAACTTGCATTTAGTGTGGAGCTAAAAACTGCTGGAACCAATGATATTCATAAATCAAACCAAAGCATTCAAATGGCAAGCCTAATATTCTAGAAACAGATGCTATTAAAAATTAGAAACTAGACCCCTCTTTCCACACAATAGTATAAACAAAATGTCCATTTTATTATGTCATGGATGATATGAGTCAGAAACTGTGTGTGTGTAACAAAAGACATGTTCACTGGATGAAACCCAGGAATTCTTGTTTGTAAAGTGAGATTTTCTTTCCCAGCTATACCCGTTTAGACAGCTCAACTGCTAAACAGTGAAGAGAGGCAGTTTCACAAATTACCTCTCATACCACAGGCATTTTCTGTAGGCTTTCAACCAATGAGGAACGTTTAGTGAAAGGAAGCACAGGAGGAGCTATAGGGAAAGCACCAGCTTAGAGGAACAAGCCCCAGGGCAGGTAGAGCGATAGCAGGGAGGGGATGGAAACTAACGCAAGTGACATTGCCTGGGCTAAGTGAGTAACATGTGCTCCCATTAATAAAATACTCTGCAGCAATACTTAAGACAAAACAACTTCGAGTAAAACACGATACACTCACACACAGAAAAAGCCATTGCTCTTCCTTCTCTGGGTTTGGAAACCAAAGATAACTACCAAAAATATACTGTCACCTGAAAATTCTTAACTACATTCTAATGGACACTAAGAGATTTAAGTAAGAGGCTAGACTCAGTGGCCATGCCTACAATTCCAGCACTTTGGGAGGCCAAGGTGGGCGGCTCATTTGAGGTTAGGAGTTCGAGACCAACTTGGCCAACATGGTGAAACCCCGTCTTTACTAAAAATACAAAAACTAGCCAGGTGTGGTAGCATGCTCCTGTTGTCCCAGCTACTCAGGAGGCTAAGGAGGAGGCTGCAATGAGCAGAGATTGTACTACTCCATTCCAGCCTAGGTGACAGTGTGAGACTCTGCTTCAAAAAAATTAAAAAATAAAATATAAAGAATATGACTGCAAAAAGGAAGGTACATTACTTAACTCAATGGATTGGGAAAATTTAGCACA